TTTTTTTTTTTGGACTGTTTTTTTTTTTTTTCGCCCTCTCGCACCGATTTTGGGGTACCCAGAGGATGTCATCCATAAAAATAAAAAAGTGTGGCCTAAGACAGTGCACTCCCAATCAAATTTATTTGATATTCATTGTTTTTAATTTAAATTAAAGGGAAAATAATGATATTTTTCCATATCTTTACATTTGAATATGCATGGATATTTTTAAATAACATTTTAAAAATAATTTCCCATCTGAAATACAGTACTGTATGCATGTGTACTGTAGTGCAATTACATGTATAACACATATGTATGGAAAAAAAGTTTAATATTTCAGAGACAAATACTGGCTACATTTGTCATGCCAAAGAAGGTATGCTGGTGGATTAACAAGAATAAAAAAACAACAAAATTAGAGTTTGTTTGGCAAAGTTGTATTTTAAAACATACACTGTACATTGTACATGTAGTTACCGGTAGTACTGTACAGTACCAGTATTTAGATAATGTACTGAACTTAAAGAATGAGTGTAATGACTATGTGGTTGTACAAAAAATAAGGGGGTGACAGGAGGATGATTTAAATGTTAGGTGTTTGAGCATATATATGGCCAGTATTGACAAATTTTTTATCAAAATGCTCCATTTTTTCTATTTGGTTTTTAAACTTCAAATAATTACTAGTACTGTATTTGTTGTCCTCTTGAAAATAATTACTACAGCGTATTAAGTACTAGAAACAAAGTTTAATTTTATTTGATAGTTAAATTATCAGAAGAATACACATCTGAGTCATCTTTTTTGGCAACATACACATTTTGGCCGGACACATTTACAAACCTTAACCTACAGCATAAATAGTTAAAAGCTTTACAAGTCGGGACTGTAATACAGTAGGTGTAACCAGGGAATTATATCGGATATAATTCCCTGGTGTAACAAACTACATATATGTCACAACACCATCCCCAAGTCTGTTTTTAATAAACTGGCAGTAAGCAGATGGGGGCCGTAGCAATAGTCCGAAGGTTCAATAGTCCGAAGGTTCATTGTTCCAAATATTCACTATAGAACCTTCAGACCAATGAACCCTTGATTAAAAAATCGATGAAAATGTTACCACTTTTCGGACCAATGATCCTTCGGACCAATTGATGAACCTTCGGACTATTGAGACGCCCCCAGCAGATGAAATATTGAACAGAAAAGTACAAGTTCATTTTCCCCAGCTATTGACCAAAGAACTTCAATTCTAACTTTCAAGTACAAGCACATTTAATTTAACCACATTGATGGATTGGGGGGGGGGGGGGGGGGGGGCCTCCCCCCCCCCCTCTTTTTTTCCAAACAGAAAANATTATCAGAAGAATACACATCTGAGTCATCTTTTTTGGCAACATACACATTTTGGCCGGACACATTTACAAACCTTAACCTATATATATATATCGGATATAATTCCCTGGTGTAACAAACTACATATATGTCACAACACCATCCCCGAGTCTGTTAGTAAGCAGATGAAATATTGAACAGAAATTTAAAGTACAAGTTCATTTTCCCCAGCTATTGACCAAAGAACTTCAATTCTAACTTACAAGTACAAGCACATTTAATTTAACCACGTTGATGAATTGGGGGGAGGGGGGGGGGGGATCCTCCACCCCTCCTGTTTTCCTCAAAAGGAAAGCTTTCAGAAAAGATTATCATAATGGAATCCAAAGAAGAATATTTCATAACACCTAACATTGCACCATATTTTGAAGCCACTTATTCAGCAGTACCCCCCTCCACCCCAAAAAACAACAATGAGCTCCTGATCTTAATAATAATAATACTAATAATAATAATAATAATAATAATAATAATAAGCTGCTTTGCTGTTTTTCACATTTTGTTTATTTTTTCACCTGTTTCCAAGTTCAATAATGGCATCAATCACATTGTCTGTCTTTCTCAGAGCTTTTATAGCTGTGTTTCTATCAATATTCATCTGCTTCATAACCACTTCAATGTCTTGCTTCTCCAAGCCCTCCTCACTCTCAGCCTTTTCACCAAGTGCCTGAAATACTGCCTTTTCTGTAATAAATTCCTTAATGTTACCCTGTCCCATTAGTTTTCCTTGACAAATCAATTTCAACTTGCTGAGAGGAATTTGAACAGTATGTGCTATTTGTTGCATTATATCTTCTCCAGACCAGTGTTTTTGAATAGGGAGTTTGTGTTTTTCTTTATTTCCTTTCACAATAATTGTTGATGTGAGTTGCTTGGTGTCAGTATCTAGAGGACCATCCATGCATTTGCTACTGGAAGGTCGGGAAGATGTTGAGAGTGTTACTTCTCTTTCTTTACATTCAAACATGATAACCCCTGAGACTTTCGATGTAGTTTGTTGCATATCAACATTTTCAGCTACTGTCTGTTTCTGAGTACCATGATCAAATTGTTCTGGTAATTTTGTAGTTTGATTGTGATCTTTAGGATCCTGATGTTGACAGTCTGTTTTCTTATCTGTTGTAGAGCTAACCTGGGGAAAATTCTCTGATTGAAAACACTTGTGCTGTTCTAGTCTTCTTTGAACACTTTCCAAGTGACTTCCACCACTCTTTGGACCATTTTCTTTCCCATAGCATTGGTGCTGATTGTTCAATCTCCCTGTAGAAATATTTTGGCCTTTGTAGTTTTCTCCTTCATAAACATTTGATACATGCATGTCTGCACTGTTTTCTTCACTTGAATGTTGAATTGTCTTTAATGTTGCGCTGTCCATTTCAGTATTTAATTTTGAGAAGTTTTTGGCATTTAGGGTATGTCTGATGCTGGGAGACTCTGAGACATTTTTATTGCACAGGTCTTTGTGAGAAGTCCAGTCCTTAACTTGACATGCACGGGAACTGGAAGGAAGTGTAGGTAAAATATATTTACATTATGGAATAAAATATATAATACTGGAAAGTGTAAGTAAGTATATTGTGTCAACTGATTTTTAAAAAAATTCTTGTAGATATGTTGATAATTTAAATTTATTTATCAAAATTTTTACAGTAAACCAAAAGCAATCAAACAGTCATATAAAATGCACAGCCAGAAAATCAGACACTGGCCTCAACTTTTCTATATAATATACTTTTAATAAAATCATAGAGAGAGGCACCATTTTGTCGAAATCCAAATTAGTATAAGCTTTTACTTTTAAAGTGTTCACATACCAGTAGACCACTTTTTGACAACGGGTACATCTCTTTAAAATCGACTGTATTTTCCCACACCTTTTGCACGCCAAACGGTCTGCCATGATAGTTTACCTTGGAGGCACTTGTTCGTCAATAGGGGGCGAAAATAGACCTGATTAACAAGACAAGCCACCACAATTTGTGCTATCTTAATCAGTTACACTAAATGCTGTTTGTTTTTTGTTCTACTTACAATATAAAAAAACATTTTCAGTTTTTGATACAATTGTTGATACTATTTTAATTTGGCGTTTTAAGAAATATCATATGTCAAAATAAACAAACCAATCACAAAAGGTCATCTCTGTCATGTGATCTGAGAGATTTCCCTCACCGCAACTGGGACACTAGTGCATTACACCGACACGGTGTAGGCTCTGTTTAAGTTAGGTCTAACCTAAGGGGATGTTGTAAAGACTCCATATGACATTCTTATTAAATAGAGCAAGGGAAGTTGTTGTATGTTTGTATAATTGAAACCTTGTTGAAGTTCTCGTTACTTTGAATACCCAAGGGTTTCCCGCTGGCAAAGACGCGAGGAGAAGGCACTTTCGCATCATGGCGGATTCAAGTGAGCCGGTTGAATCGAATTGGTCGTTTAGATCAAGGATTGACGAGGAATTGGAGTTTTACACGGATATGGCATTGCATGAAACACAGAGGTGGATCGAGGTAAGTTATTTTGTAGCTTAAAATTTCCTTAGAATTCCCAATGAACTTTTTGAAAAGTTTTCTGAAGTGATTGAATGTGCATGGAATCTTTGCCCGAAACTGACAAGTTAGTTATGTTGTCAGCTTTTTATGGAATTTTATTGCCGAGACCGTGGGAAAATGTCATTTTAATGTTAGGTTGAAAACGTATCATCCTAATAAGAAATAGCATTAAAAGATGAAGAGACTTGAATTGAACGTTTATTTTTTATCGCATGAGCAACATATAGTTATAACAGGAAAAGATTTTCCAAGTTCTTATCGACGATCGCCCTGAATATTATTTAAAATGGTTTGTGGAATTTTGTTAGTTAACCATTCAAATTGAAAATTAGATTGCCACACCCCTAATAAAATGTAATCCCAAGGTCAACAGATTTGTGTTTTATTTAATTAATTGTCACATGCAACATGATCAGACTAGTAAACTTTAATTTCTGATGGTAATATTGAGATTAACATAAGTAAATTGTTAAACACAAGGCATATATAAGTTTATACTCAAACATTTTTGAAAAGTAGAATTAGACATAAGAGAAAACTGATTGCTTTTTTTTTTATGAAACGGTTTTCTTGAAATGACAAATATCTTTATTCGTTTAAAACACAGAATAATGTGTGTGGAAAACTGCTTTTGTGCACTTATAATTTATTGCTTTATGAACTGCTAACAGCTTTATAAATTCTTTGATTAAATAAAAGCCAATTTAAAATCATATTCCGATGTTGTGCACACTAAAGTACATGACATTTAGATAAGTTTATCAAATAGCCTTGGGAATGTCAGCTATTTCAATGAGCTTGTGTCAGTGCTACATGAGATTACCCACTGTTTGTCTTGTTTACTCAAGTGGGCATAGGAACCGCCTGGATGTTTGTATTTGTAAAATGGGTGCATCAATGTATCACAGTAAGAATATATCATTTTATGTGTAAAAAGAACAAGGTGTATGTATGATATTTTTGGGTGGGGGTGGGGGGGTGGGTGGGGGAGACTGTACCAACCCAACTGCCTCCTTTGCTTTGAATTCTTTATTTTGCATTGTTGAATAATACACCCAAGTTGTAAAGTTTGCAAGCCTGTTTCAAAAGGAGAAAGTATACGACCAGAGTACTATATTTAAGTTTTTCTATCTCTGATAGGCTGTGATTTGAAAGAAATTATAACTGCATTAATTTTCTAAATGAAATTGTTCAAAAAAGTGCCGGGCAATGTGACACTGTGTTTGATATATTTCTCTTTTGCAAACTAAATTTTTTGGATTAAAAAAGATTCCCACTAGCATGCCCTATTGATTATCACCCTTGACTGAGTTAACATAGTTGAAGACGTGTAGAACTAGTAAACTACATATAATGCACATATTGGCTTTGGCCAGAAGAGATTAGCCAATGGTCAGATAATATTTTAATTAATGCTGCCTTTCCCTTAAAGGTTATATATATATCTGTGTGGGAGCTTGATATCTTGCTATCTTGTTACTGTATTTTGTGGTACTCATTAGCATCCAGGAAGGTTTGCACCTGTGGGTTCTGTTTTCTAAAGCAACGTTAATGTCACTTCAAACATCTCAATGTAACCTGTAGTTTTACCCGACTTTTAGGCATATTGATTAATGTAGTAGCGTGGAACTCCACTTTATAACAGAGTTGCCCTGGAGTATTTAATGCATGCTATGCAAACAATAGAGAGGGAAACAGAAATGCCAAGTAAAAATAAAAATCACATAGTGAGAATCTTAATATATAATGATTCTGAAATTAAACTTACCTTAACCTGTGAAATAAAGCATAGGGATGAGCATATTTTTGTAACCTTATTACCTTTGAATACATTGAGCTGGATATTTAAACAAACATGTTTTGTTCTTTGATTTTTAACCAAGCTTAAAGTTTAAATTACTGTTACTTATGCATACATTCCTTTGAACATGTTAACCAACAAGATGAAATTTATTTAAATACAGTGAAACTGGTTTTAGTTTAGGTACCCTTTGGTATTTCAATGAAATGAACTTAAGATGATGTTATATTCACTTGTATTTGAACTCGAGGATCATTAAAGAACCATTTTGAAAAAAAATGGGATTCATTACTACATCACTGTTGGCACGAAGACGTAGTAGTTATTATTCATGAAGAACTGTTAAGGACCCCTAAAAGTTATCTCAACAAAAGTATTGTGCACTTTATACCAGGGGAATGATGACATCAGTATTGTGCAAAACTTCTCACAGTATAGAAACATGCAAAGCTACATATTAGCCAGAGAAATATCTGTGAATATCTACTGAAAAAATTATTCTCTCTGTAACCCTGGGGAAGAAGGGTAGGTATTATGTTGGTCATTGCACTTTATATTAGCTTCCACTTTGATAACATAGCCTTACCCTGAGGTAGAGGGTTTACCCTGAGGTAGACGGTGTTTAGTCCCATGACAGGACGGCTGAGAAAAGGGAAGCTATAATTAGCAGGCAACATACTGTTACAGGATATGTGCTGTCTGCTATCCCCTTGTGGAAATGTTGCCATGTCTGAATTTAAATGGGTGAGTAACACCTGTATTTGGCTCATGGGAGTGTCCTTGGCGTACATGTGACAGCCAGGTAACACATGTTTAAGAGGCTGTGGTGACAGCGACACAGATGCTCCTTCGTATTTAAATTCAGTCAAATTCAGTGCAATAAGAGGACCAGACATTTAAGTGTCTTTTTTTTTTAGCTATCAATATCTAGTTTAATTGAGAATTCATTTTTAACTTAAGTTAACTGTAGTATTCTGCACTATAATGATTCTTTCACATTTTTATATGGTATAACTGCTAAGGGCCCTTGACATTCGCTACCTTGAAATAAGACATTTGTTTTGGAAAAGGTGTTTATTATGTTGCCTCCAGTGATAAGGTTTTTGAAAGAGCTTGGCCTCGATTGATTATAAATATGTCACCCTAGTGTGTCAAAAATGTGGCCAAACAAAACAGTTCCCACTAGATAATCGGCAAAAGATAACCTCAGCATAACATTATGAGCAGATTTGTCTCAATTACATTCCTTAGATCAATTATTTATGGATTACTGGTTGTTGGTTTAATATTTAATTGAGTGCTGCACGCAAATCTAACCAATTCATTCAGTCTTCAGGATGATTTAACACACCATGCTAGATTTGGCAAATTGGTGCTTGTGCTAAGAAAACTTAAGTAAAAGAGAGATAAAATAGATTTACCTTACCACCTTGTTCAGCAGCTAGATAAGAGTGAAATAACTGAGTAAAACTGTTGTTATAGTATAGATGAAGGTATAAGAACTAGGCACATTGCTGTTATTTATTTTGTGGCCAAATAGGTGTTATTCTTCAGTAAAATTGGGCATTTTACAACTAATAAGTAAAAGTTTATTGAAAAAGATTCTGGTTTCATTTATGTGTATATTAGCTTAAAAAAAATAAAATGAATAAATGAAACAAAGTTTCATATTTGCCCTGCACCAGACATGGTGAACTATTAGTATTTTAGAAATATGAAGCTGAAGAACAGGACGCGGTTTAACGCTCATGAAAAACAGATTTCATTACCATAACAAACAGAAACTGTCAACTTGAAATGCACAGTGTGAAATGACTCTATTTAAATGTCTAACAAAGCCATTGAGACTTCACTGACCACTAGTTTTGACAGGTAACACTGTTGTACCAGGGTTCTTGTGGTGGACTGTTGTGGGTCACTTCAACATGGTCTCCCTATAATGGACTGCCATTAGTTTAAGTTTGACCATTAAACTATCAAACCTTGAAGGTTATTGCCACGTCCCTCAGTACAAGTATTTTTTTGTAAAACAATTTAGAAAAAAGTTAAGCTCTCAAGAAATTGAAAATTGGGTCAGTAAAAGAAAAGTGAAGTACTTTTTATTAAAAAAAAAAACTACTCGTTGCAAGACAAGCACATGATTTAGCACTTGTTACTGCTTGAACAGGATTTTCAGTGTCTCTATGTGTCTCATAAGATTTTTGTGGAAGTCATTATAGAATAAATATTAAAAAATATTAAAAAAAAAAAGATTAACATACCAGCACTTTACACTGTAGGATAATTTTCATTCAAATGAATGTGAATTACATGCTATGTCTGGTAATACTATTTCATTATTTCTTACTCCTGGTTGTACCTTGATAACTGAGAAGAGTGCTGTAAGCCATTTAATTATAATGTATCTATCAGAATGGCATTTCTGTAAGGCATGATATTACAGGGAGGAAGGACTTCTGTTTAATGATGGCTTTATCTCACGAGCAAATTGAGATGGTCAGGCAAATTAAGATATCTGATAAACTAATGGACTTTATTGCAATGAGAAATGGTGTAAGCTCTAAGTTCCCCATTGTAAAAGGGATTCATAGAACATTGCTTCCACTTTTAATTTAACAAACAACCTGTTTGTGTGGGTTTAAGATGGGGAGAAATTAAGTGTTTTAAGCATGCCCTTTAGTTCAACACCTCAAATGGAATATCAACCTGTCTCAGGAAAGTGCCTTTCAGAAATGAAATTCTTTGACCCATGTCAGAGTCAGAATTGGTTTTTGAAATAATGAAGGTTTTTTAGTTGTATTCCCAATATTCCACAGGTAATAACCTCATCATAAGACTCAATGGATTTTTTTACTGGACTCAAGTGAATTACATTTTATAAACAGATTTAATGACTTGTCGGATGGTAAATTGTAAATCAGAAATTAGATTAGTATTCAGGTCCATAGATTAATTTTAATCAGTATCTTGACTGGACATATAACAAATAAAATCTCTGTGAATGTGACAATTGCATGCCAGTTAGGTGTTGTATATTTCATCCAGCAGCCTGCATTCTTAGTGTATTAGACTGCTAGGACATAATCAATCTTTATGCTACTAATATCACTGTCTTGATTAGTTAGCAGGTTCTCTGACTACATACACAAGCTTTCTG